CCTCAGTCTTGTTTATCGTAAGAATAGCAAAGCCATTAGTCATATTGGTTCCCTGGCCGCTGCCTTTCCGGAAATGAATGATGTCCCTAGTAGCCCAGTAGTGGGTTTCTCTGATGCCGATTGGCTGCCCAAGGCCTCAGATGGAGAGCAAATGAAAAGCACCTCCGGACACTGTTTTTATGTATTTGGTAGTTTAGTGCAGTGGAACTCAAAGCGTCAAACGATTACGGCAGCCAGTACAATGCAAGCCGAGCTGATTGCCGCGTCCTCGGCCGCTGACAGTGCCGTGTGGTATCATACTCTACAGTGCGATTTTCCATTTTTATTCGGTTTAAGCCAAGATATTCCAGCCATTCCTATCATGATTGACAATAAAGCTGCATTAAGCGTCGCAAACCATCCTGAATCCTCACCCAGAACAAGGCATATCTGTCTGAGAGAATTCCGTATAAGAGATATGCACGAGGCCAAGCAGGTGCGGCCATACTGGTGCCCTGGCACCCATAATGTTGCAGATGTATTTACGAAGTTAGTACATAAAACATTGTTCCATAGATACTTGGATGTAATGGGAATGGAAGGTTCAAATCGATTGCATTCAGACTACCCATCACTACAGGGGACACACAGGTCCTTTATGTCAGAGGGGCTGCTTAATGAGTGGGTGGTGTCTCACAATTCGCACATCGACGAGGACATAATATTTGAGTTGCGGAAGTCACTAGACTTCGAGTCCTCTCAGGCTGTGTACATCTGGGACTACTGGAATGCCTCAAGCGGTCAATTGCCTGACAATTATTGTAAAAGTTTTGTATCATTACATTCCACTTCATTTTTGAATCCGCAGGAGTACAATCTCTGTGGCGATGGTCCTGTAAACACAGACGTCCTCAAACACCATGGCTCTGACAACTCTTCCCCGTCCTCTCGTGCTAAGTTGAATGTTGCTAAATTGCTTTACAAGCAGGGAATGGCAAAAAGAGCTACCAGGCTGGTGCAGGATCACCACCGCCGTGGACTGTCACCACCTGTTCCTTCCTGTCAGACTATGGTTGATGTAGACCCCTCGTTTGCAACACCTAACGCCCCATCTGCAGACTGGTCGCGCCTGTCTCGTGTGGTAGAATTGTTAGCTTGCGGTGCAATCTTATATCATGTCCTATATGCTTGAAGGCTCTGGAACAAAAATGCTCTACATGGATCTTCATTATTGGCTTACGATCCAGGGGGAGTAGAGAGATAGAGAGTTTTGTATCTCCCTAGTGGCTCGCTGGTACAGAGCCACCCAATTTCCTTCCCCTCCTTAATACTTTCTAACCCTGTTATAGCTGCTTCCCGCACTGTAATAGACGGAGAGTCTTCCTGGACCTAGTGAGGCAGATCCTCTGCCCGTTCGTCCAGTAGCCCCAGCCCCCGTACACT